TTAAACAAAAGGCAGCAGAATGACGTTTCGAAAATGTACAACTTCTGATCTCTTCGGCTTAAATAGAATTAACCCTCTGAAGCCGAAGCTCGTCCAAAAAAAAATATATTTAAGAATTCAGTCCGTACCGCGAAGAAAACACAACTCTTCACCATTACAAAATACAGTTGGTTACCGCTGTTTAAAGAAACGATAATCGATTACAGTGAGGATCACGCGAAATACATAAATATACATACGAGTTGGTCTGTTAAACATCTCCATCATCTTAATAGGGGAGTTGAGGTGGAGATCAATGATTGGCCACGCCCAAGAACAGAGCGACATGCAGCTCGTAATTATCTTTATTAACACGCTGATAACGCTGGAACTTACTTTCTCCACAAGACAGGAGAACGAGATTTCTGATTCCATTGTGACAAGTCAGTATCTTATAAGCCGTTTCTTAACTGAGGCAATGTGCGACCGTGATTTCTGATGTTGATATCTTATACATCTGGAACATTCTAGCTGTGGTTTCAGCATGGTCTGTGGTTGCACAACGTCCGAGTGACAGACGACTTTTTAAGATATTATAAATACAGGGTGTGCCATTTTAAACTCAACCCCCACAACAATCTCAACGATATAAGAATGAAATCAGGAACAGGTTGGTTCATAGTCGTGTAACAGACAATCCCGTCCTCACCCGAGACACTAGAATCAAGGTCACGTTCGTTGCTAGGCCGATGCTCACGCCAGTTGAGCAAACGCTTTGCAGATGCGGACATGGTCTATTCATAAGTACATTACTTCTCATCGAAATCGTTTGCTACTGTTCGCGAATAATTTCGCAATGTTTATCGCATACGAGAAAAACACTCGGACCGGTAACAAACATTTCGGGACCCAGGAAGTGTTTACCTGTGACAAATGCTTGTCGGAAGGTAAAACAGCTTAAATTGTGACCTTGCCAGCTTCAACCAGCGCATCAACTGCGAGAATTCAATTTTGCCATTGGTTTTAAATGAATCATTCTGTAATTTTCCTTATCGATGTAGAAAACGTTATTACCGAGATTCCCGATAACCTCCAATTTCGTGTTACTTTAACCAGTCTCTCGTTAATTTATGGATTAACATCTTACTTGAGCTGAGTTTAAGAATTTGTGGAGCGATACCTCCACTCTTTACATAAATTAGGGTGGCAGTTTTGGCATGCTTTAAGCACTATCCCAGAATCCGTGTGGAGTAACTGAGTAAAACCTCAGGATATTCGACTAGGTCTCGAACCAGATACGTCCTGAAAACAGCTCTGTAGTGTCACGTCTGCACTAGTCCGACGTCAAATTTTTATACTGTGATAACCCAAAGTAAAGTCTGTTGTGTAAACTAGGTACGTGACTGTACACGGTTTAGCTAAATGCACGATTTATTGAAGAATGGGCTGCGGTCTCTAATTGTGAGGACAGGCAATGTATAAAAGAAAGTAATGTCTTTGGTGGGACTCGAACGTGGGAACGTAAGAACAAAGGGAAAGTTTACTGGCATTCTGTGCTATATATATAAAGGGCCAGGAAAGAATTATTCGCAAACTCTGCTGATTTGTAAAAGTAGCCAATCTGTTCTTGTAGCTAAATTGAGTAAGACGATAAACAAAGATAATGAAGTTGGATCCCTTGGGGGACATGGAATATTGCGCTGTGGTGTAGTCTTGTAGATGTTTTCCGACGTTTCAGAGGCGTTTTATGCTTCCATCATCAGGGTGATGATCTTGGGCTCTGATTATGGATGCTGTAAGCATCTCTGAGGCGTCGGTCAAATTCTACGGCGCAACATCCCATCTTCATACTCGCCGCCTTGAAACCATGGCTTTTCGACTTACCTTATGTGACCTCCTGTCGCCTCCTGCGGGACGCATTCACCAGGATGTGGAGTTGGTACAGTACTCTTGAAGGCGATTTCCAGAATGCATAATTCCGTTTTCTGTCTGAAAAGAAAATACGTAAGAATTGAATCTTAATGCTATTGGTCGCTTTTATGGGTGTGAAACTTGGTGTATGACCCTAGAGGAAGACGGCTTTAGGGAGCAGTGCGCTGAAAGGAATTTTTGGGACCAAAGAGAGAGAGAGAGAGAGAGAGAGAGAGAGTAAAGGGAAGTTTCAGGAAAACTGCACCAAGAGGAGATACAAATATGTGAATAGGACTGTGATATGGGTGGAACGTGTAGCACGAATGGTAGCGATGAGAAATGCACACAACATTTTAGTCGCAGAGATGAAAATAATAATGATAAAAAAATAATTTGAATATAACGTTTCGAAGAATAAATGTTTGTTTCTAAAAATTACTTGTCTCCTCCGTCAGTCAGTTAACACATGATTGGACTCACGTGTTTCCCCTCAGGCAAATATCGTCGAAACTTTGCACCTTTTTCTTCTAAATACGGATCTGGCCAAGCATTTGTAGGCGTTGAGGGTGTCATCATCACGTTGCTATTAAAGCAGGTGAAGAGTTGATGAAAACTGATATTTTGCTTTGAATGTTTTATTTCGGTACAGTGACGGGGTGTGCCCCCTGGCGTCAGTTTAATTTATTCCGAGTATTTTTGTACTTTTATAAATATAGTAGGATTCCTTAGATTGGGGATCGGCTTGCGGCAAAGTCTCTTTCTTCAGGGAACAACAAAACTCAAGAGAAAATAGGCTATGTACGCACAGATTAACAATTCAGAGGCGCGTTCAGCAACGTCAGATCTGCGGTCAGTAATCTCTGCGTGCGCGTGATGTCTGGCCGATGACGCCATCAAGGGATTCCCCATGTGATTACACGATTTAGATTCCCCCCACGCAGTCATTTTATGCGTGCAAAGTGACTGCTGTTATTGTCCGATTTGAACCAAAATTGTGACGTTTCGTCAAATTATGTGAAAGAAAATTCCAGTATCGAATTTAATGAAAATCTGTTTCTTGTTTTTCGAATTTGCTGTATATGAACAGACGTGGCTAAGCAAGTAGACGTATATCTATGCCCCAACCAGGATTCAAACCCGTGTGTCTATTATGATAAGGAAAGTTTCGACTTTGTATAAAGTTTCAGGCTTTCGAGATATTCTCGTTTACTTCCTGTATGCCTGAAAATCAGATTTAATTTTTCACTCTGCTGAGGCGGGCAGTCGCCATAGTTACCAAAGAAGGCCATTGGCGCGAACCGATCTCTCGTTCCGAAGCCAGAACCAGTAGACAAACAATTTCTACTTTCTTTATATTTTATTTAAAAGTATATTTTTCTACGCTGTGGAGTGTTCTAGTGTCAATTTCTGTTGTTTTGACCAAGGTCAAATACCAGGAGGCCGTTGGCATTTGCCTGTCGCTAGCCGTTCTTGCAACGAAACAACTGGAGCCATGGACTCGCAAACAAGTTGGCTTGCCTCCCCCACGCCCCACCCCCTTACTCTTGCACCAGTTATAATACCAAATAAACAAGCTCGCTGCATCAGTGTGAGAATTAAGTAAGCTTTGGGTTCGATAGGAATTTACATTTCTGGCACCCGAATTAATTCCGTCCTGCCAGGTCAATATACTGACGAGGAAAAGTTGTCGGCAGTCAGAGCACGTATCCGCGTGCTACTTGGGGGGGGGGAGATTCTTAACCTTTAGCATTTAAAATTAGGGCTGTCTAATTTGTACGTAAAACACAGAACTTCACAGGAGCTTTTGGAGTGCTCATCAGTTAGGGTGACCAGATTTAGAAGGGTGAGATTGGCTGTGCATGTAGAAGTTTAGCCGGAAACCTGAAGGAAAGAGGCTATTTGGGAGACCTGGACTCAGATGTGAGGGTATTATTAAAATTAATTTTAAGGGAACAGGATGGCTGTTGTTGTGAATATATTAGTGAAACATCGGGTTCAATAAAAGGCGAGGAGGGTTTTTTTGGAACAGCTGAGCGACTGTTAGATGCTTGGAGATAGAAAACGTCAGTGCCGATCCTAGGAATGAAAGTTCGAAGACCCCTTTGCGTCGGGAACAAGTGTGTTGCTCGTCTGTTGATGCGCTCATCTCTGTTGTATTGAAGAAGAAGATAAATGCTCCGTTAAACAGCGCGGTTCTAGTTCACATAACGGACAATTATTCGTAAATTTTGTCCGGCTGCTGTCGGAGTTTGGAATATCCTGTTACAAGCTGCATAATAAATAAACAGATGAAATATGTAAAAACGGTTGATTACAATAGTACAGTGGTATAAGAATGTTCACATCTGAAGATGGTTCGACCGAACCGAAACATGTAGTCTGGAGGACGGATGTTTTGTCCTGTTGTAATAACTGTAATGTTTATTACATGAATGCATTTGTTATTATTATTTGTTTTGCGATATGATGAGTCATCTTTTCAGACCTAGTTTTGAATTAGGATTATCAAAACCGAGCATTAATTTCTATGCTTACACTTTGTTTGTCCAGTAATTTGAAAGTTAATGCGAGCGAACTAAAAATTTCTGCTCAAAATTAAATTTTTATTATTATTTTCAGAATATTCTACAGGGTGTGTCTGTTCGTTAACCGGAATCGCGCTGCTCAAATATGGCTTATTCCGTAGTAAAATCCGGAAAATGCATTCGAAATAAAATAAACCCTACTTCAAGATCTTTATCAAGACGTGAGCTGTTCTCAGAAAGTCGATCTCTTGTATTTCCACGCCAGACTGCCAGGAACGCGTTCTAAGTGCTTCCGCGAAAATATCGATATTCTTCCAATGGCAAACATTAACTGGATCACCTTCACATTCCACATGCTCTGTCTCTCGATCATGTCTGTTATTTTAATACTTTTCCTACTTCCATATTCGCAACATTTCTGTCACCATGGAAACGGCGATTATTATTATTATTATTATATTTTCTCTCCTCCCGGGGGTGACGCCCCTTTTATTCCCAAAACAGAGACTGGTTACTTTATAGGCCGTCTTTGTGGGCTCTTGCAAAGAGGACGTTTCGCTCATAACAAGTGTTTTTGTGTTTCAGGCCATCACAGAGGCTTTCAAGATGGCAGCAGATCCAGACCTGGAGTGGACGGCTACCATCTTGGACGTCAAGCCGCAGGTGATCCTCCACGACCGCCTCATGACGGACGCTGCTTTGGGCACAGCACCCATCAAGACAGAGCATTCTTACAGTCTCACGTCAGACGGAGACTCAATTCCAGACTCGCCACTCAGTCTCGATAACAAGATGGACGGTAAGGACACGTTTTAGATAATTAAATACTTTAATGCGCCGAAATGTACAGGGTGATCTTTTTTTTTTCAAGCGAGCGCGGACTTGGGCGTGAGAGCAGGACGCTCCTGCCGTCAAGTCCGGCCGACCCATAACGCGCAAATTCGCTCCACTTTTGCACTGCGTATAAAACACGCTGTATAATGAACAGCGATTAACATTCTAGTGAAATTCGTATCTAGTGGGCCGATCACACGGCAGCCATTTGGCCACAATGACCGTGCAACATAGTAACCACTCTCCTCAGCCCACCGTTAAACGATAACGGCACATGAACAGCAGAAGGTTTGTGTTTGTTCTGTTGGCATTTCGATTCATTCCACGGTTTAGACAAGTGTCTTCTTCTGCTATACAAGCGTTCTGGAAAATATGGCAGATAAATATGAAAAGGAAGCTTAGGACAAGAATGGTTTATGTCAACTCTCAGGAACCCTAAGATATTTGTTTATCAAGAGTTTTAATTACCATTGAAGCTCGATAACGTATCTCATGATTTTATGTTTTTAAACACGTGTCGAACATTTTATTTCCTTTGTAGTCACACTGACGAAAGAACAGAATATAAATCATTAAGTGTTTGAGGAGAATAGCCAAGGAAGGATTACGTAAGAGGATAATGTAGAATATTACTGCACGTAACAAGGAATTTCGTGACTTTTCAAGTCGCTTTCACGTTAAGACTGTTACGATAGTGAAAAGCTAGGAGAGCGCAGAAATGTATTTCCCTCAGAGTAATCACAAGATACAGAAAAACGTATCATAAACGAAGTGGGAACATCAGAGAACAATTTCCGTTTGCGTAATAAGTAGATTGGTTGATTTTTAATAATTTGCTATTAATGGGATTATCTGGCCTTTTGGGATGATATTTATATGTTATATTATAACCTTTTGCCACGGTGGTCTAGCGGTTAGAAGGCTGGCCTTGTAATCCTGGGGTCTCGGGTTCGATTCCCGGCGGTGCCCGAATTTATAACTTGTGTTGGGCAAGGCCGTGGTCTAGGCAACACGGAGTTTTCCTCCATGGCATCCCAACAATTACTCCATTCACACACACAGAAGAAGGCAATGGCAAACCACCTCTGGATCATCTGCCAAGAACGTATATGAACAGGTCCCAGGCCGAGAAAAGGAGGGAAGGATCCTGTTCATAATGTCGCCAACCTCCTGTAAAGGAGACGGCGTAATAAAGA